GGCCGAACCCAGCCAATGAGATATTGCGTCAGGTCGGGATATCGGTAATTCGTGCACTCTCATTGGCTGGGTTCGGCCCACCGGGTTGTTCGCTGCGTAGGGAGGGAGGTTATAAAGGATGGATGGATTTCATCATTACACCCGTTGTGGTCAACTCAAATAGTTCATCTCTCACACAGATTGTCAACTAGTTATTCTATCGTTTATAGAATTGGTATCGTTTCCCTATTGGTTGACATCGATAAGTCTTTTCCACCTGAACCTCCAATACACTACCTCACGGAATGCTGCTTTAGCCTACCTCGCCTTAATGCGGACTGAGCCTAGAGAAGTATAGCCAAACCCCGTGTAACATCAATCACTCGGAGAATTGTAGAAAGAGCACGAAGGACGATCGATTCCTCTGGCTCGGCCCACCGGGTAGTTTGCTGCGTAGAGATGGACGTTACAAGGTTTCACTGTCTAAGTCTATGTATTGAGAGGTGCGCAAGCTTGCCCTATGAATATCTTGAGAGCATGGGGAGCGTGGTGCTCTGTTGCTCGCCGTGCTCTCTAGAGATCAAGAGGTCTCTGAAAGCACTTGCTTACCATAGCGTGGTAGCAGGAGTTGCACTACTGCTCTGTCGCAGCTTTTGCTTATGAGAGAGCGAACCTGGATCGTTTGCCAGTCATAGCGGGATCAGGGCCCGACGGGTCGTAACATTCTCCTTCTCCTCCGTGCCCGCCCACTCTCTCAATACCCGCTTCAGAATCTTACCAGTGGGGCTCCTTGGTATCTCGTCAAGGAAAACAACGCCACCTGTCAACTGCTTGTAGCTCGCCAGGTGATCATCGATTAATCGCTTGACGCCTGCTTCCGTGATGTCGCTGCCAGGCTTACGCACAACGTAAGCGCGGGGCCGCTCTGCATCAGAGTCAGGTTGGGATTTCAAGCCGATCACTGCTACATCGGCAATGTCGTCTTTTGCTTGGAGAAGTGCAGCTTCGAGCTCGGGCGGAGCGACCTGAAAGCCGCGGACTTTGATGAGTTCCTGCTTGATGTCAATGATGTCTATTGGAGGTCGTAAGCTAAGGATAAACACACCTTCTTGCGGTCAACAATGTACCACAGTTTAGTTTTGCTATCGCAATACAAGATGTCTCCAGTATGTAAATAGCCATCTTCATCCCAGGTCTCGGCATTTGCTTTAGAGTTCCTGTAATATTGACGGACTACCGTTGGACCGCGTACGCAGATCTCACCACGTACATCGAAAGCCGTGATGTCCTTGCCATCTTCATCCACAAGCCTGCGGGTAGTTAGTGCTGCTTGGTACAGATCGCATAATGCTCATACTTCACATCTGTGTTCGGTATCAGTCTGCCCACACTTCCAGTATCATCTTCCTCAGGGTAGGGGAAAAGCGTCATTGCGCCAGTAGTCTCCGTCAATCCCCAGAGCTGTGTGAAGGTTACGCCTGGCGCCAGCAGTTTTCTCATTTCTCTCTGACTGCCCGCATCAAGCGGTGCAACACCTGAAACCGCTGTCCTCACACTCTTCAGGCTATACTTCTTGCTTAGCGGGCTGTTGATGATGGCAGTGACTAGTGGCGGAATCACTGCAAGGTTCGTGACTTGATGTTTTTCAATGCCAGCGAGGAAAGGCTCAAGCTTGAAGCGGCGCATGATCCAGATTGGATGCCCCGTACGGAATGGCGAAGCATGAACGGCTGGAACCGTGGCAACATGAAACATCGGCAAGGGCGAGATGGTCCTTGGCTCCCAAGTGATCGAAGCCTGAGATTTAGTGGCTATCACAGTGTGGAATGACGTAGCATTGTAGTGGCTCTGACATGCAGTCTTGGGAAGTCCAGTAGTACCAGATGTAGTAAGACGGGCGACATCTGTTCTCTTCAAGGTCTCAAGATCTGTGATGCGCTCCCAGTCTTCTTCGCCGTGCTGTAGCAACCACTCCCAAGATCTGAAGCCGTACGGTACCTTTTGTCCGCGAACATTAAAGACAAAGATACAATCTTTGGGAATGCCTTCACGCGTTGCGCCTTCGATTACAACGTCGAGAAGCTCTGGCTCGACGATGAAGAACTTGACTTCAGTCGTGCGAATGTGGTGTCGCATTTCCGCGACACGGTAAGCTGGATTGGTTCCAGAGAACACGCGTCCCGCTGCTACACCGCCGAGGAACACCATTGAATACATGATATCGCTGAAGGATGTTACGGCAAAGCAATCACCTTTCTTGAGACCGGCTTTACGAAATCCAGCAACTAGTTTGCGAACGATGCTCAAGCCCTGTCGGCGCGACAAGGTACGTGACTCATCGTCAGCGTCATGGTAGACCTTCAGAATTATCAATGGATGTTTAGCTACGGCTTTGAGGGACGGACTGGCTTATCGTTGTCATAATCTGTATTTCCAAACGCAAAAGTTACCAGATCTTCTTCAGGAAGAGGGCAGGACTCTTGCAATAGCCACGGCATTCTAGTAGCTGGTTGCCGATGTGTGGAGACAGCTCAATTGCAATGGGATTGAAGACTTGAAATTTACAGAGCATGAGTGAACACACACTTCAGATAGGCACTGAACTATGCTTGATATATCCGGTGCTCTGAGTCTCGGCGGCTGACGACATTGCCGAGGCTGTTCCTCGGGCCAAGCAGCTACTGACGCAGGATTTCTACGAAACTGCCCCCGTGCAAATCACAGGCCCATGCTACTAACAATAATCATACTATAACGATACTCTTCCGCGTATAGGCCATAAGCTTGTGGTGCTTATTGTTGAAGTGAGTTGTAGCTGCGAATGGACGATACACTGTGCATAGCTTTTGTAAATAGCAATGCGGTGTGCCGGCAAGTATTTAGAAATACTGTTGATTATTGATATATTAGATGCGTCTATAAGCGATATCTACAGGGCAACACAGCGACTGATCAATACATATTTCTCATAAGTCGTGATGTACTCTCTCGAATCTAGTTTACAGGCCTGCGATATATTATATGGTACAGTCTCATGCACTTGCAATCTCCGCTTTGTGCACGCGGCTTGTTTGTCATCACACGCGGAACATGGACCCGCCTGGTTTACGCTTGTCCAGACAAAACTTAAACTCTGTAGCGTCTATCCCTCCGTGACGTGACTCCCTGTGTGCCGGGACCGGCGAACCAGACCGCTGATTTTGAGTAGAAGCCTGTGATTCAAGCGATTGATTGGCCGATCCCGGCACACAGAGAGTCCCGTCACGGAAGGTTGGACATTATTGCGATCGTTGCATGGCATTAAGACTGTGTTCCCAAGGATGGCGGTCCATAGGCCTTGGCGCGAAAATCAGCCACGGTGGGTTTGGATCGTGATCGGAATGAACTTGTCGTAAGAATAAACTCATCAGTAAGATCGGGTGGTTTTATTGTTATTAGGTATGAGGGTGGGGCTCCAAGTCTAATTATGCGATACTGTACGTCGCCAGACTAGAATCTCTACTCCCAGAGAATCAACTTATTAAGTAGGACCTATCTTCCTAGCTTGAATCTTCTCAGGAGGAAATGACATATTTCACTATCAAATCAGCGGCAATGAGCCCAGACGACGACGCCCCATCACCTGACATTAACTCTTTAGGGCGTTTGATGTCGCATTCGGAAGTCGAGTCAAGAGGGAACGGATACGAAGTACTGCAACAAGCTGGAACTGTACGAATACTTCTTTCCAGACCAGAGAGAGGGAATGCCCTCTCCTTGTCCTTAGCTAGAGATCTCACGCGACTCTTCCAAACCTTTTCGGCTCAACACTCGGTCCATCGTATTGTCCTCACCGGAAAAGGCAAATACTTCTGCTCTGGTATGGACCTCGGAGAAGAACTATACGAGGATGCCACAGAGCGTTGTCTAGCGCTACAGGACCTATTTGGAGCCATCGATGCCTGCCCTAAGACTACTATCGCAGTCATCAATGGCCCGGCATTCGGCGGAGGCGTGGGGCTGGCCTTTGTCTGTGACATACGTGTGGCTGTTTCGACGAGCTTCTTCTGTCTGAGCGAAGTGAAACTGGGGCTTTGTCCTGCTACCGTATCCAGGTTCATCGTCCGCGAGTGGGGCGTTAGTCTAGCCCGAATGGCCATGTTGACAGCCAGAAAGATACAGCCCCAAACGTTACATGAAATGGGGGTACTTCATGCTGTTGCATTAGATGAAGAGGCATTGGAGGCTGTCACGAGAGACGTCTTAAACGACCTGAGGTTTGCAGCTCCCCAAGCAACAGCCTGGTGTAAGGTTCTGACACGAAAAACTCGCAATGCAAACAGCGATCATGATCAATTGGCCAGACAAATATTCGAAGCCATGGTAGTGGCAGGCTCCGAGTCGGAATATGGGGTCGCACAATTTCGCCTAGGAAATAAGAATATCTGCTGGGAGCAGGTAGAGTGCCGGCATATTGGATAGATAGACGAACTAACCTTCCTCCCTGGGCGGCGAATAACCCGGTGGGCCGAACCCAGCCAATGAGAGTGCACGGATAACCGATATCTCGATCTGACACAGTGTCTCCTTGGCTGGGTTCGGCCCACCGGGTTATTCGCCGCGCAGGAAGGGAGGTTATAAGCTGCTTGTCTTAGACGACTATCAGAGATATCCTAACCAAGCGCTTGAGGGCTAATTTCTGGAGAATGAGATCTGAAATTCTGCGTGTCCGTCTGTTTATCTCATATCTTGTAATCGTTCAATGTGGTAGGCTTCTTGCCCCTGAAACCAAGGACTCGGAACGCGCCCGGGACATGGCAAGGCATCTCGCCTTCCATATCAAAGTTCCTCCCTGTGTGACGGAAAACCCTGTGTGGCGGAAATAGCCAATAAGAGGGCAAGGATAGCATCTTTCTCAGCACGGCGGTGTAACCCAATCAGAGTTGCTATCAGTCAATCAGTCAGTTGTCAGTTCATCTTTGCGGTTCAAACTGTCAGTCTGGAGGTAGTGAACTGACCTGATTGACTGCCAAGACATTTTTTAGAATCGCGAACTGAGAC